TCTTCGCCGATCCACGTGAGCGCGCGCTTGCCTTCGGCATATGGGCCACGATTTTTGGCGTCGGCTATGCACTGGGGCCCGTTCTCGGAGGGTATCTGCTAGGGCAGTTCTGGTGGGGTGCCACCTTTCTGCTCGCTGTGCCCATCGTCGCGCTGTTGCTTGTGCTCGGACCTATCCTGTTGTCCGAGTACCGCGCGCCGAACGCTGGGCGGATCGATCTTCTGAGCGTGGCGATCTCGCTTGCTGCCATGTTGCCGGTGATCTACGGCATCAAGGAGATTGCCAAACATGGTCTTGCTACCGGCGCTATCGCCGCCATCGCGGCGGGCCTTTTCTTCGCCTTGCTGTTCGTGCGTCGGCAAAGGCGGCTGTCCGATCCGCTTGTCGATATGAGTCTGTTTCGCAACAGGGCTTTTTCCGTAGCGCTTGTTGTGCTGCTGGTCGGACTTGTGGCGGTTGGCGGGACGATGTTGCTCTCCGCTCAATACCTGCAACTGGTGGCTGGCTACGCCCCCTTTACCGCAGGCTTGTGGATGGGCCTTGCAGCGTTGGGCATGATCGCTGGTGGCGTGGGGGCGCCGCTCTTTGCCCGGTTTGTCCGGCCCGGATTCGTTGTGGCCGGCTCGCTGGTTCTGTCGGCTGTCGGGTATCTGCTGCTTGCCGGGGCCGGTAACGGCGGCGCTGGCGTTGCGCTGTTCGTGGCGGGTTTGGGGCTCGCTTATCTCGGCAACGGGGTTATCGCCGCGCTCGGGACCGACCTCGTCGTCGGAGCGGCGCCGCCCGAGAAGGCGGGATCGGCCTCTGCCATGTCCGAGACTGTTCAAGACATAGGCGTCTCGATCGGCATCGCCGTTCTCGGTAGCCTCGCCACGGCCGTCTATCGACGCACGATGCTCGACCATATGCCCGACAACCTGACCGAAGACACACGCGAAGCCGTTAGCGATAGCCTCTGGACCGCGTCGGCCATAGCGCCGGACCTGCCAACTGGGCTGATTGAAGACGCGCAGTTTGCATTCACGGAAGGCTTCAACAGTGCGGCTGTTGTCAGCGCGATTAGCATGATGGGGCTTGCTATTCTCGCGTCAGTGGCGCTGCGGCACGTCGGAGCGTTCGGAAAATCCGACGAAAGGTCTTGAGTTCAATGGACCCGGGTCGCTTTTGCTACTTTCTGGCCGCGGCCGACAAGCTGAGCTTCGGGCCGGCGGTCACGATGATAGGCGTCGGCCAGCCGGCCATTTTCCGGCAGATCGCAGCGCTGGGCCCCTCCATTTCGATAGGCGCCGAAAGCGCGCGCTTCACGGCACGTACCTCCGGCCCCTCAAGCAAAGGCACACTGCAATTTATCGGATCAGCCTTACCATAACACGATTTTGGGTCTTCTGGACTTCTATAAGGATTCCGTATTCCAACGCGGCCGGTCGATAGCGACCGCACTGCGCGACCTTGCGCCTTGCGCCTTGGAACCAAGTGATGGTTAGGGCATGCAGCCGTCGATCGGAAAAGGAAGATCCGGAGATCTGCCTGTCCCTCTTGCCTCAAGAGGCCGAGCCGACTTCTTCGATCGATACTTCATTCGGGTAGAAGGCGACCCGCCCATCGATAACCTTGGCGAAGTCGAACGCCGCCTTGTAGCGCCACGCGATCGGTGCGCCAGTACCGTCGACGGAGAAATAGCTGGCGTCGCCCTTAAGCGGGCAGTGGCTGGACTTGCCGTCGATCGGCGACAACGGCGCAATGACATCCTCCGTTGGGAGATAGAGAACTGGATCGAGCATGTCCTTGGCCATCTCCGTGACCCGCAAGGCATTGCTGCTTTCCGCGATCAGCGCGCCGCCGCGGCGAACCCTGACGATCCGGGAGACCGGTTTGGCGCGCATGAAATGTCTTGGTTCGGCAGGATTGTGGATGGTCTCGGTCGCCATGGTGACTTCGGGATGTGACATACGATCCTCCGACGAGTTGGGAAGCCAGGCTGCAGGAAAACGATGTCTCCGTCGCCTCTGCAGTCGTGTCAGATGACGCTATGCCCATCGACTGTGACCTCGTGCCGGGCGAAGCCCTCTCGTGGCTGCTGGTCTCGGGCGATTTATCGTTCAGATTGTAGCAGTCAGGATGGTACGGAGATCAACGGACAATGGGGGGCGGTGCCGCCGCGATGCGAACTTGTTGCACGTCCCTCGGCGGCACCGGGTCGAGAAGAGCAGTTTCGACTTCAGTCCAGGTGCGGAAGGGTCAACGCGTCGACAGCGCGCGCGTGCGAGTAGGACCGAACCAAGTCGTCGTTCTATGGGGAGAAATGGCGCGCCCGGGAAGATTCGAACTCCCGACCTCTTCCTCCGGAGGGAAGCGCTCTATCCAGCTGAGCTACGGGCGCAGGCGCCGCACGGAGCGAAATCCGCTGGGCGATGCGCATAGGTAGACCGAACCTGCCGCGCTGTCGAGAGGCTGCATTGCAGGGCCTGACAGGACGGCGTCGACACGGGAGCTTCAGCGGGAAGGGGGCAACCGCTGCTCCGGCGAGGTTGCGGTCCTGTGAAACTTTTTGCCTGTGGATACTTTTCGTTTGCGGCTCTCTTGCGCGACGCGATGGGCGTTTGGCAGCCTAAATGTGGTAGGTGCCACGAAATACTTACCGGATATCTCGTTGTTACCACGAGATCTAGGTGAGTCGTCGCGCCCTGCTACCGTCGGCAAGCGTCGGCGGTGCGGCAACTTGGGAGATCGCTTCGCCATGGACCTCACGGCACAGGAAGCCTTCGTCACCAACAATCCCCTCGATCTGCTGGAAGAACTGGTCAACGCCAACGATTGGGCGCACGACCGCTCCAGCGATCAGGAGATGATCGTTCAGGTTCAGGGACAGTGGACCGACTATCATCTCTGCGTGATCTGGCAGCCGGACAGCTGCGCCATGTACTTCTCCTGCCAACTGGACGTGAAGGTCCAGGACACGCGCCGTGCCGCCGTGCTCGAGCTGCTGGCTGCTGCGAACGAGCGGCTCTGGCTCGGGCACTTCGACTTCACCGGGGAAGAGGGGCTGCTGCTGTTCCGTCACACCATTCCGCTGCGCGGGGTGTCGGGCGTTTCCGTCGAGCAGCTCGAGGACATGATGGAGACCGCCGTTGGGGAATGCGAGCGCCTGTTCCCGGCCTTGCAACTGGTGATCTGGGGCGGCCAGAAGGTCGAGGAGGCCATGGCCGCCGCCATGATGGAGACGGTCGGCGAGGCCTGACCCTGTCGAACGGGCTGCCGTAGGTCTCGTCTGGCCAAGAGTCTAGTCCGGCCGCCGTACCAGCCTTCGTATCTGGAGTTTTCGCCATGTCCCTCGAAGGGCCGGTCTTGCTGCTCGGCTGCGGCAAGATGGGCGGCGCCTTGCTCGCCGGCTGGCTCGACCGGGGCCTGCCCGGCGCGCAGGTCACGGTGATCGAGCCGCAGGCCGCGGCGGTCGCGGATTTCACGGCACGCGGTGTCGGCCATGTCGGTTCCGCTGAGCAACTGCCCGGGGATCTGCGGCCCAAGGTCGTGCTGCTGGCCGTCAAGCCGCAGATGATGGGCGAGGCTCTGCCGCCCCTGGCCCGGTTGGCCGGGCCGGAGACGGTCTTCCTCTCGATCGCCGCCGGCAAGACGGTGGACAGCCTGACCGCCCTGCTGATGCCTGAGGCGGCGGTGGTTCGCGCGATGCCGAACACGCCTGCCGCCGTCGGCCGGGGCATGTCGGTGCTCTACGCCAACGCGCGGGTGGACGCGCGACAGCGCGCGCTCTGTGCCGAGCTGATGACGGCGGCCGGCGAGACCGCCTGGATCGAGGACGAGGCGCTGATGGACCCGGTCACCGCCCTGTCCGGCGGCGGGCCTGCCTACGTCTTCCTGTTGATCGAGGTGCTCGCCAAAGCCGGGATCGCGGCAGGCCTGCCCGCTGAACTGGCCGAACGCCTCGCGCGTGTCACGGTCGCCGGATCGGGGGAGCTGGTCCATCGCTCCGACCTGTCGCCGGCGACGTTGCGGGAGAACGTGACCAGTCCCGGCGGCACCACTCTGGAGGCTCTGAAGGTATTGATGGCGGAGGATGGGCTGCAGCCTCTGGTCACCAGGGCCATCGCGGCGGCGGCCCGCCGCAGCCGCGAGCTGGCGGAGTAGCGAACCGGTCATGACGCTGAAGGCTGCCGCGACGCGGGTTCAGGCCGTCCTCTCCGAGGCGGGATTGGAGGCGAAGGTCCGCGAGTTCCCTCAGTCGACCCGGACGGCGGAGGAGGCCGCTGCGGCTATCGGCTGTGACGTCGCCCAGATTGCCAAGTCGTTGATCTTCAAGGGCGCGACCAGCGGGCGTTCGGTTCTGGTCGTTGCCAGCGGCGCCAACCGGGTCGCGGAGCGTAAGGTGGCGGCGCTGATCGGCGAGCCCCTGGAAAAGGCCGATGCCGCCTTCGTACGCGAGATGACGGGCTACGCCATCGGCGGCGTTCCGCCGGTCGGCCACGAGGTGGCGCCGATCACCGTGATCGACGAAGAGCTGTTGCGGCTCACCGAGATCTGGGCTGCCGCCGGCACGCCCAATGCCGTTTTCGCCCTAACGCCCGACGCCTTGATGAAAGTGACTCTGGGCCTCAAAGGCGACATCAAGAAGGGTGGGACGGCCTGACCTGCCGCCTCAGGCGATTCTGCTCCAACTCACAGGGTGAGCGCGCGATTCACCTGTTCGATGGAAGCCAAGCCGCTTCCATCGAACACCATCGCGCTCTAAGTCTGCAGCGGTGTCTTCGATAAAGCGACAGAGTCTGTGAGGCAGAGCGATGGCCGAAGCCAAGAAAACCGCCAAAACAGGTGCGGGGAAAAGCGGTAGCAAGACGAGCGGGGCAAAGACCGCCGCCGCCAAACGGACCGTCAAGAAACGCGCCCCGGCGAAGGCCGCGCCGCCGCGCGACATCGCCCGGGAAACGCTGGACGCAGCCCTGAGGCTGGCCGCCACGCGCAGTTGGGCCGATATCGCCCTGGCGGAGATCGCGGAGGAGGCCGGGCTGAAACTGTCTGAAATCTATGCGATCTACCCGACCAAGGGCGCGATCCTGGCCGCCTTTTCCCGCCGGATCGACGGTCTTGTCCTCGCCGAGGACATGGAGGGACTGGAGGACAGCCCGGCGCGCGATCGGCTGTTCGACGTGATGATGCGTCGCTTCGATGAGTTGGAGCCCTATCGTGACGCGGTCGGTAACATTCTCGCCGACCTCTGGTCCGACCCGGTCTCGGCGCTCGGCGGCCTGCCGCAGTTGTCCCGCTCCATGGGCTGGATGCTGGAGGCGGCCAGCGTCCCGACCGAAGGCTGGCGCGGTCTGCTGCGCGTTCAGGGACTGGTCGGTATCTACCTGGCCACGCTACGGGTCTGGCTGCGCGACGACAGCGCCGACAAGTCCAAGACGATGGCCCAGCTCGACGCCTACCTCCGGCGCATCGAGACTCTCTCGGAGCGTTTCGGGCGCCGCGATCTGTCGCAGGACGCTGCCTAGAGCGCGGTCGTCTCAGGTGGAAGCGCTTGGCTTCCGCGTGAGACGTGAATCGCCTTCTAATGACGAGAGCAGGATCGCCTGAGATGGCTTCGCTCCGGCGATCCCACCTCGGGCGTGGCTCCGGCTCTCGGCACAAAAAAGGGGGCTGACGCCCCCTTTTTCGAACGCGGTCGGGATGCGGCGACTGTCGCCGCACCCCGGCTCCAGCCTTCTTACTCGGCGGCCATGCGGTCTTCCGCCATCAGGTTGCGCAGCACGTAGTGCAGGATGCCGCCGTTGCGGTAGTAGGCCAGCTCGTCGGCCGTATCGATCCGGCAGAGCAGGGCGATCTCCTCGCTGCTGCCGTCCGGGCGGTGGATGGTGCAGGGCACCTCGACACGGGGGGCCAGCTTGTCGGCCAGGCCCTGCAGGTCGAAGGTCTCCTCCCCCGTCAGTTTGAGCGACTGGCGGTTGGCGCCGGCCTGGAACTGCAGCGGCAGCACGCCCATGCCGACGAGGTTGGAGCGGTGGATGCGCTCGAAGGACTCGGCGATCACCGCCTTCACCCCCAGCAGGCGGGTGCCCTTGGCCGCCCAGTCGCGGGAGGAGCCGGTGCCGTACTCCTTGCCGGCGATCACCACCAGCGGCACGCCCTCCTCCTGGTACTTCATGGCGGCATCGTAAATCGCCATGGTCTCGCCGCCGGGCAGGTGCTTGGTGAAGCCGCCCTCGACACCCGGCACCATCTCGTTGCGGATGCGGATGTTGGCGAAGGTGCCCCGCATCATGATGCGGTGGTTGCCGCGCCGCGCGCCGTAGGAGTTGAAGTCCCGCTGTGCCACCTGATGTTCCAGCAGGTGACTGCCCGCCGGGCTTTCGCGCTTGATGGCCCCGGCCGGGGAAATGTGGTCGGTGGTCACGGAGTCGCCCAGCACGGCCAGCACACGGGCGCCGGAGACGTCTTCGATGGGCGCCGGTTCCGGCGTGACGTCGTCGAAGAAGGGCGGATAGGCCACGTAGGTGGACCCCAGGCTCCAGGAGAAGGTGTCGCCTTCGGTCGTCTTGATCTTCTGCCACTCCTCCGGACCCTTGAAGACGTCGGCGTAGCGGCCGCGGAACATCTCGGGCGTCAGACTGGAGAGCAGCAGTTCCTGGATCTCGTGGTTGGTCGGCCA